AAAAGCCAGGTGTCCTGATACCAAGTCTTGTGCAATCTATAATCTAGCAATCTCAAGATCTCTGTCTCTACACATGCCATGATTTCAGATTATGGAACATGTTTCTAGRTTGAGTACTTGAACAGTAAACAGCTAAATAACCACTTACCAGTACTYAAGAGCAAAGATCATGGTTTTAACTGCTAAAAGCCAAGGCCAAGTTATCACCATGCCATGGACAAATGTTACCAGAAGACTTTTTATAGACTAATTTCCTGAGTTGTTGTTATGTAGGTAGGGACTCTGCCTTCAAAATTGACAGAATTCAGTAATACAGAATTACTGTACCAGTACTCAGTCATTCATAACCAAGCTTTCCCTCTGCATCAATGTCCCAACATACAACACAAGATTAATTGCTATCAGCATAGGCAGAAAAAGATAGGAGATCATTATTCTATGAGTTCAGGTAGAAAACAGTCAAAATAAAAGGTTTATAATTTTATACAAGCATCCTTTTTGCATTGGAATGAATATATCAAAAAAAAGCATTAAGGAAAAAGACTGAGATGAAGATATGATGAGACATTTATTGAAAATATAAAAAGTTAATTGAGACATTCTTACATAAGATTGGTTTCCATAAGAGAAGGAAGAAAATCCTAGTTAACATAAACCCATTGGATGACATGAAAGAATTTCAGGGGCAAAAACCTGAGAGGAGAGCAGGTATCTGTCAAGTGTGATTGGGTATTGTTGGCTCTTGAAGGCACATCTGATGGATGAGAGCAGAGAGTCTTCATCCCTGCTCCACTCTGCCTTCTGACATCTCCAGTGTTCCCTGGGAAAGGCTGCCTCCACATTCACCCTCCTCAGGAGTGTCCTGCAGAGCCTGCTCAAGCACCAGCTTGAGGTTCCGCCCCTGCACCCGCTGCCTATAGGAGCCAACAAAGAAGTAAATGATGGGATTGGCAGAGCTGTTAACACAGGACAAAACACTGGAAACCAGATGAAGGCAATAATATACATCAGAACYATTTTTAATCCAGTAATACAGGAAATAAAAGATACCATAGGGCAGACCACAGAAGAGGAAAACCAATACTGTGAGCATAATGGTAACAAACAGCCTGTTAAGAGACTTTTTCTGGGATCCACAGAACATCCTACCCAGCAGGGCCACACTAGACACTGAGAGAACCACAAATAAAAGAACCAGCCATGCARCTATAGTAAWTTCAACTATTTTACAAAGAMCTTCAGTTATATAGAAATATAAACAAATAACTACTTTTAGGATGCTCAGAACCAAAAACAGGGCCCAGAGCAGGGTACMAATGATAGCTGATGTGTGTCCTGGGTGATGGCAGCRGTACCAAATGGGCCACAGGACTGACAGGTAGCGCTCAGTGCTAATAGTGCCTAGCATGCTCAGGCCTGCAATGTAGAAAATGATTGTCCCGGTTGGTATGATGCCGTATGTAGGGCTGTGGATGGTAAGGATGACTGTGATGATTCCCCGCAGGACATTCGCCATATGGAAGCAGAGATAGAGGAAGTCAGCTACAGCCAGGTTTAGGATGTAATTGTAAAAGGCATTTCTGTGCATGTGGAAACCCSAAAACCAGATGACAGATGCATTTCCAATCAGCCCAACCAGGGAAATGAGGAAGGTCAATTCTTTTGGAGTCAGATTATCAATGTAACAGATTGGAGGAAGGTCTTCATCACTTTCATTGGTTGGTGTGTCTTCTATCAACCAGGCTGTGAGGGATGGGTCCAGGCTCCTAATCACTTCAGTCATGCTTCTGGGAACACAAAGGAGACTGGAGCACTCGCAGCAATAGCTCAGATATCAGGATCACCCTGCTCTGTGGAGATTACTATATCCATTTTAAAGAGAAGGAGAACAGAGGATTGCATAGGTGAAGTCATCTATCCACAGCAGGGGATTTATGAAATATCAAAYTAAATCCAGTAGTTATTGTCTGAACAGCTGGAGTTCTCTGGCCTGAACCTAAATGACAAGGAAATATGCTATAGTCTGGATACCCCCACTCAGAATAGGACCAGTAYTATGATGACCTGGGACAGGTTTCCCTCAGGTGCCGGAATTGATATGGACACAGATCCCTATCACAAAGAGAGTTTCACTCAAGGAGGCAAAAGAAGACCTAGCTTTATGGCTACTAGGAT